GGAAGACTTCTAATTGCATGAGCTGTCCTCGACCCCTTTGATAAGTGATTGTTTTATTAGTTTCTCCAGCAAGAGAGTCTGTGATCCTCGAGATATATCTTGAGTCAAAATTTATCAAACTACAGTTTTATTTTCACAAACTAYTTGCTTATTATTTGATKAKTTATGTYTTGTTTTGCTTCTTTTAAAAGGAGGGRTRTTCTTTCACATTCAACATTCATTAACAAACCCTTTCTTTGATTTCATGAAAGTATCTTGGACTATTCCTTTACCTCCTCTAAAATAGCTTTCAATATACAGGAAAACAGATTTAATCCATAGCATTTATTATTAATATTATTATTTGGTAGTATTTTTACTATGCTTTATTATTTTTTATTTATTATTCATTCAACAGACTTAAGGTTTATTATAAATTCAACATACTTAAGCACCTCACTTGGCTTTTGGAGTTGTTTTCCCTATGAAAGGARAAGAAATATACTTTYTGTGATATACTCTCTGAGATAGGATGCACCCGTGAAAGAGACATTGTTTGATTGTCACTTCCGCAGGGGATTAGAGCAATTAGCGCGGATAAATCTTCAATAGCATTTCTCTGATCTTTGGCTTTTTCTTTCTAAAGAAGAAACTGGTTATAACTGACACCTTCTCATTAGTAACTCTGCATGTCGTTCTTCRTGGGATATAATGAAGTCTGCTGATTCTGCATGTGGGGATCGGAAAACTGAGATATTGTGCCGAAGAGGTCTTTTTTTTTGGAAAATGATTGCTTTTCCGCCTTCTAATCCCCGCTTCCTACTCCTTCTCCCACCTAATGAAAAAAAAAATCACCCTGTATATGATGAATAGAAAACAAAGTCAAAATTGTAAGGGGGAAGAAAACGTTATTTCTGTATGGATTTTTTTTTTCTGCGCACTTCGACTATTTCTTGTAGCTTTACTCATCATTGGTGGTAGTGCAGTGCGTCTCTGTGTCTCTTATGCCGAGCTGAAAATTAAAGGGAGAGCTGGATGGAATAGCCCAGTGTTATGGTGCTATTTCTCYTRTGGTCTCAAACGTTTTAGTAATTAATGTAATKGCTAGGGAYACTGTGGTACTGYGGCAAATGCAMTGCTGCTTTGGTCGTGTAYGAATCCGTCTAGTTTGCCAGAATARAAAGTGTGATTTAACGTGTGAACGTGTGAATCGATTTACCCACCAGTAATAATAAGTGTGGTGGAGAG